CATTGCTCACCTCCCATCAAAGGGAGGTGATCCTTTGATCCTTCACTGATCATGTCTGCTCCACCAGAGATGTCTACTTTTGGAACTGCTGAGAAGTTATGCGGTCTTTCTTATCTTGGTTAGCATTTTCTTTTTAAATCATTTTATTGGGGGCACTTACAGCTCCTATAACATTCCACACATCAATTGTATTGAGCATATTTGTACATATGTTGCCATCATCATTTCCAAAACAGTTTCTTGCTACTTGAGCCCTTGGTATAAACTACTCTTTTTTCACTTCTCCCCCACCCCCGGACCCCCCTCCTGAATCCTTGATCAATTATATATTGCTATTATTTAGTATCTTACACTGTCCGTTATCTCCCTTCACCCACATTTGTTATTCATCCTTTGGGGAGGGGAGCTCTCTATCCAACCTTTCTCCCCCTCCCCCCTGCCCCCTCCTTGCCCATCCCCATACTCCCACTACTGTTCCTGCAGGGTTTATCTGTCCTGAATTTCATGCGTCAGGAGCTCTTATCTGTACTAATGTGTACTCTACGGTCTAGTCAGATTTGTAAGGTGGAACTGGGTCATGGTATTGGTGGTGAGGAAGCATTCAGGAACTAGCGGAATGATGTGTGTTTTGTTGGTGCTGTACTGCACCTTGGTTGAATTGTCCCTTATAATCCCTCTGTGGGGGGATATCCAATTGTCTACAGATAGGCATGGGTCGCCACTCCAACCCACCTAGTTTTCATTGATATAATTGTTTTGAATCTTTTGATACCTGACACCTGATCCTGTCAATACCTCATGATCACACAAGCTGGTGTGCTTCTTCCATGTGGGCTTATTTGCTTCCCTGCTAGATGGCTGCTTGTTTAACTTCAAGCTTTTAAGACCCCAGGTGCTATATCTTTTGATAGCCGGGCACCATCAGCTTGCTTCACCACATTTGCTTATGCACCCATTTGTCTTCAGCGATCGTGTTGGGAAGGTGAGCATCAAAGAGGCTTAGCACTTTCTGCTTTGGACTACATGATATTGCTTCACTAGACTGTGAACTTTGTAGGGATGACTTTTTTGGTAGGCTTCAGTCGACTCAGCCAGCATCCCTTGCATATAAAACTACAACTCAAAAGCCAAACTCCCTGCTATGGAATCAGTGCTGACTCACAGGAGCCCCAATGGAGTAGTGGTTATGCATTCATCTGCTATCTGAAAGGTAAGCAGTTTGAAACCATCAGCTGCTTTTCGGGAGAAAAAGGCTTTCTACTTCCGTAAAGAGTTACAGTCTTAGAAACTCACAGGGATAGTTCTGCCCTGTCCTATAAGGCTTGCTATGCATTACCCATAAAAGTACAAAATATCTCTTGATGGTTTTAATGAGTGCATTCAATTGGCTAAGGATGTTCAGGCGTGTCTAAGGAACCAAGGAGTGTTCAAAAATGGGGGGAGGTGAGAATATACAATTCTTCCTGTGAGGGACACTGGCCTGATGTGAAATCTTGCCATTGAGAGTAATGTTCATTTGAAGGCTTTCCGCCTGTTGCCACATACCAAGAAATAAAAATTAACTCATGGAGTTGACCACTGAGGAAATGGTGGTTTCACAAGGATTACAGTAAATCATCACAGAACGTGCTGTAGAAACACTCCCACTTACCAGTGTGCAGATGGCTCTATCCTAGAAGTGACCCTTCCCCCTTCTTGGGGAAATCGTGCGTGTATTGTGTGAGATTAGGCACCTTCATGAGCCCTTGCTTAGAAAACTTAATTTACCAAGGGCCTTGACTAATAGAGGAAAGGAAGAGGCAATATGATTTATGACCCTGAGGAAAAGTTGCCTGTGGACTGGGGGATGTGTGTGTGGGGAGGGGGCTGGGGGAATAAGCACTTTCCACCTTTCCAGCACACAATATACCTTAAATACGGGAAGGTTTTATTCTTGCTTCAACACTTCTACCCAGCTTGCAACAGGAAGGTTTAATCGTTTTTAAAGCAAAGGCTGAAGAGTATTATCAGCACTTAGAGGCAGAAGCCTTCCAGGTAACTGCACATTCATCTATAAAGAACTGTTAACAGGCCTGGATTTTTCAGTGCTCTGCTGACTTGGTGTATGTGCAAACAGGAAAGAAATCTAAACGTAAAAAATAAAAACAAAAGCCAAAGCAATAGCATTGCATGAGTTGTTGAGGCTTTTCAGAAACAAAACCATTTGAAGAGTGTAGGCTGCTCCAGGAAAGCCTGTGAATGTTGGAACCTGTGTTAAGGTGGAACATGCCAGAGAAGGAAAGCTCAAATTGAGACCAGGTGGCACAGTGGGTTATGAGGTGGCCTGCTAACCACAGGGTCAGCATTTCGAAATCACCAGCTGCTCCATGGGAGAAAGGCGAGGCTTTCTACTGCCATAAACAGTTACTGTCTCAGACACTCAAAGGGGGTAGTTCTATCTGTCCTGAGTCAGAATTGGCTCGATGGCAGTGAGTGCTTGAACAGAAAGCAAGGGTAAAGTGGTAAGACTGTCAATAGCAGGAAAATTGTGAGACTCAGAAAAGCAGAGCAGTCCAGTCTGGCACAGGCCTCACTGTACTTTCCACCTGGTGCTACTGTTAGGTGCTGTGTTCGGTTCCAATTCACAGCCACACAGCGAGCAACAGAATGGAACACGCCTGGTCTTGGACGTCTCCACAATTGTTCTTATGTTTGAGCCCCTGGTTTCAACCACTTTGTCAATCCTCCTCATGGAGGGCCTTCCTCTTTTTCATTGTCCTGCTCCAGAGACATCCGCTAATTGTGAATTTAGAATAGGGGTTCTCACTTTTAAAAACTGGGTATTGTGTTTCAAGCAGCAGGCATTGCTTTGATGCCTTCAAGGTTTCCCCCTTGCTGTCCCTTGGGTTTTAGGAATAGACATACTGTAATGAGTACTGGTCAGTGCCAATCCTGAGTCCTGGTGGGGATGTCAGGTAGGCTTTGACTGCTAACCACAAGGTTGACAATTCAAACCCACCATGTTCTCTGAGAAAGATAATGCTGTCTGTTCCAGTAAAGACTGACAGCCTTGCAAAGGCTAGGAATTGGAATAGACCCAATGACAACGGTTTTGAGAGTTTGTTTTAATGATTTAGAATCATTCATTTACACAACAAATATTAACCTAGCACCCACTGCTTGCTGGGAAATATGCCAAATACTGGGGGCTGCAACTAGGAACCAGACATTAACTCCTCCCTTCAGGGACAAGAACTTTGCCAGATGGGTGAGTGTATTTTGCAGATGAGGACATGCGATGAAGAAGGGCTACTGCTAACAGGCCCTGTGCTCCATCCTTCATGCCAAGTGTTCTTTTCCAATCTGCATGTCTTTTGTAACTCATTCACCTTTGAAAATCCTTTCTCTGATAGGGAGCAAGGCAAAAAAATTCTGCCATTTAAATGTATCGGTCTTAATGTTTTGGTCATATCAGAAATAATTATTGAATGCTAACTATGTTTTGGATTGAGCCTTGGCTTAAATAAAAGATACAAGCTTAAATAAGGCCCCAAGTCCCACATTTTTAGCAGATGTGGGAAAATAAGTTAGCTTGCAAAACAGGGCTAGTGGGTATACAATATTTCTAAGATATGCAGAGAAGTAGAAATCTTTGTTACTATGAGCTAGCTTGCTTTTCTCTACTCTGATTTCTAATCTGTTCTGATTGCCTGAGTGGGATGGGACACAGTAGACATGGGGTGGGGGGAAAGCGGG